TTTTTTTTTTTGATTATACTTTTGAAAAAGTTTTAATTATCCAGAAAAAGAGAAAAAAAAAGAAAAGAAAAACAAGAAAACACGTTATGTGTGCATCTTAATTTAAGTGCTTCTTGTTATGTTAGCAAACTGTATAAATAAGGCTGAATTTTTCTGACGATATAAGAGGAGTAATGTATTGATGTGAAGTATGATTAGTTTAGATCACCATCTGTTTATTCTACAACAAATTGTTGTATTTGTTTCAAATAAATTTTTTTCACTTTTTTTCCTTACCAATAAAACTTTTTTTTTTTTTTGACATTAAAAATTTTACAGAATTAAATTGAATAAAATCTGAAGACATAGAGGTTTTTGCTTTTAGCATTAAATAGGCCATACTTTGAGCGTAGAAAAAGTATGCAACCTTTTATGCAGATTCGATTACGTAAAGAAACAAAAAAAACCTAAATGGTTAAACGAGTAATAGCCCCTTAACGTCAAAAACTTTCTTTTTTAAGTTTATTAGAATCTGTCTGTTGTTCATAATTATTTTGCATAAATTTGCTGATAGATGTCAGTCGATTATAGCTGATTAATTGAAAAAAAACAAAAAATTATCAGTTAAATATTTCAAAAAAAAAAAAAAAAGAAGCTTTTAACTGCATTTTTTAATTTTATTTTCACTTTTATTCTGTTTTATTTATATGTTTCAAAGTTTTCAACAAAAGAAAATTTGTTGTTTTTCAATTTATACTAAAAAAAAAAGCTTTTAACTGTATTTTTTATTTTGGTTCTACTTTTATTCTGTTTTATTCATTTGTTTCAAAATTTTTAACAGAAGAAAATTTGTTGCCTTTCAATTTCTTTTTTTTTTTTCTTCCTCTTTTTGCTGTGGTTTAATTTGCTGTCATTGTCCGGTTCACAGTTGAAGCGCAATTAGTGCCCGAAACCCGTTTATAGTCCTAATATAAACTGTTTCACTTTCGGTTGCTATAAACGGAGAAAAACAGATTTTTTAAAACAGTTTGACTTTTGTTATATATCTGTTTTTTATGGCTTTTTTTTTTTGCATTTATACCTGTTTTAAAACGGTAATTTACTTAGCAGTTCAGAAGGTGACAACAAAAATTCTTTTGAACTTTGATATATTCAAAGAAAGTTCTGCTTTGTTGAACAGTTAAACTATTATCGCTGATTCAGCGTCACTAAAACAGCACAAAGCAAAAAATTATTTAAAGAAAAAATATTGAAATAATTTTAACCTTTTTCAGTTTTGTAAATTAAACTGAAAAAGAATAAAAACCTTGAACTCCAATTATTCGGTTTGATGAAAGTGCAAGAAAATTTGATTCACCTCAGTTAATCTACATTTTTTTTCCCTATTTTTCATAATCTATGGTTAATTTAGCTTTCTAAAGTTTCACTTATTTCCATGCGAATGCCTCTAACTTAGTATGTATTAAACAGTGACAGTGAAAAAGTTTTTCACTTTCTTCTTCTCATTTCCTTGTTTTACCCGCTTTTAAACCACTGTTACACTGCCTAAACAGATTTAAAGTGTAGCTTATTAAACAGTAATCTAATTTCCTGTATTTTAGCATCTATTTCTGACTTAGAAATCAACTTTATGTATATGATATTGTTTTGCGGAATATACATCGGTTTAACGATATCACTTATTCATGCCGACAAACCATACGGTTTTGACTACAACGAAACTTTGGTCAGTATATCCAGAAATATTTGTTCATTTATTTCAATATCTGTATTCGCAACGACCAATTTTAAAATTTTTTACTGGTGAACACATCACACTAAGAACTGATAATCAGAACAAAAAGGCGCAATATGAAAAAAATATTTGAAAGAAAAAAAAGGTCAAAAATATTGAAATTTCATGTGCGTCGACATTAAGCAGCACATGACCATATTGAACAGTAGGTTAGAGAATTCTTCTATAAGATACATATATTTCTACCAAATATGATGCTGCACGTTATCAAATGACTGCCCTCTTTTTACCACTCAGCATTTATCGTACAAAATTTTAAAGAGTTGTTGATGAAAGATTAAAGCTGTTCAGTTACATCATGGCAACATACGTAGCCGCCGACAGGCTGAAGATTTACGTATTGGCAAGATGGTGATGGAACCGTATGAAATAAAATCACATCCCTACGAGTGTATGACGTTGAACTGTCTATGTCCATTTTTTAAGGTACGATTTTCAACTATTTCCCAGTAGTTTAAGAGCATAGAATTAGAGGAATGGCAGCTTTTAAAAACCACTGTTCAGTTCATCCAGGAAATTGTTCAGTGAGTACTGTAATATTGGAGAGTTTCCTATACGCAAATTTTTAGGGACGACTGAACGCTAAACGACAATGTATCTTGGCGAATGGTCGTTTACTGAATATGGCCTACCGAAAAGAGTATCGGATGCTAACTGACGATGAGCGAAATCGTTGGCATAATGTACTAAATATTTTAAAAAGTAGTGGAGAATACGACAGACTTAGTGCTCAGCATCAAGAGGTAGTTAGAGGATTTCTTTAATCTCATGTACTTTTCGCCATAGTCAAAACACTAGGTTTTCAAAAGACTTTTCAGCTATAGTTAGACCCAAATTTTTTATAAAATTTGGTTGTTTAGTTCAATACAGCCTATGTCGTCAGAAAGAGTTTAACTTTATTACTTTACAGATGCTCAACTTTCAGTTGGTAGACTTGTAAAGCAACGAAGAAAATTAGCTTTTTTTCTTCAACTTTGGGTACTAAATTACAATGACAGTTTTTCGAGCAAAAATACAGCAAAATATTCAGTAAATAATTTTTTTAATTCAGAATATACATAAAAATATTCTTTTTTAATTTACTTCTGATCATCTGTTGTTGCTGTTTTTACGTAAACGCTAATTCACTCTCGCTTTAAATCAGGTTGGTAGTGGAAGCGGAGCGCACTCTGGACCCGGTTTCTTGCCATGGCACCGAGAGTACCTAAAAAGGTAAGAAGGAGATACTATGTTATCAATATTACAACAGCAGGATGTATTTTAATACCAATTTAAAATTTTAGACGTCTAAAAAATTTCTGTATTTCTTATAGTAATTTTTTAAATGTTTATGACGCCAGTAAACCTTCTCCTTTATAGATGTGGTGATTTTTCGACTTAAAATACATTATTTTTAAGTTACTATCTAAAATATATATAAAAAAGCTATTCAAATGAAGCATATTAAAAGTTAGATTTAAACTGCTTTTTATTTACCAGAATTTGTTGTTCTAGCAATAATTTTTTAGATTTGAAATTGCAGTACGACTTGTTGACCCTTCATTAGCGATTCCGTACTGGGACTCTGTCATAGACAGTTACCTGCCAGACCCAAGGGATTCTATTCTGTTTACACCACTGTTTTTTGGAGATACAGATTTTTATGGTAACGTGGTAACCGGACCGTTCGCGTACTGGCGTTGTTTGGACGGTCGGACAGCAATTTGGAGGTTATCATGAGTAAACCAAGATACTTACTTATACAATAGTAAAATAAAGTGCTTAAATTACTGGAAGGTTTATTTACACAGAAACTAGTCTTAAATTTAAAATATTTTTTTTTGTTGTCTAAATTCGTTTACAAGCAGAGAGGTTATCGAGTTAGACAAACTGTTACTTTACTGCGCATATTTCAGTTTCTCTGATATACGCCTAGCTCACAACTATCTATCACATTTAGTGACCAATTCTAAACTGTACACCTTATCAAGTAGAAGAATTTGTTGTTCTTCGCCTCGCTTACTTCTATGTGATTTCAGGAATATGGGGAAGGAGGGTTCTTTATTTACAGAGAATAGTATAAACAACGTGCTTGCCCAAACTAACATTGAATTCGTTTTAGCCTATACCGCTCCATTGCCAAGTAAGCTGATTTTCATGGCTTTTAACAATCTTCTGCAGATGTGTATGAGCTAGAGTAATGTTGTGTACTGCCTTAAGGCTGTCCTGTTCCGACAAACTTTTTTGCTCTCGAGTATGCTCATTCTAATATTCACCTGTGGGTTGGGGGTCATATGAAGCCACCGTCATCATCATCAAACGATCCGTTATTTTACACGCATCATTCATTTGTGGATTATATTTGGGAAATGTGGAGGCAACTCAGGCAAACAAGACAAGCACGTGTTTTGGTAACTGTTTACTACATCTGAGTACCTGGTTCAAAACTATGTTTATTTTGGTCTATAAGTACTTCTGACCTGTCAATTGCTGTTATCTGTAATACTGTTTGTCTGAATTATAATCACATTTGCTGTTGTTCCCAGGAATACTCACGTGACATGCCTCAATGTGCTGATCCTCAACATTTTAGCTATGCAGTAATGAGGCCATTTTATACTCTCGTTAACCGTGACGGCAAGTCTTTTTGCTTCATTTTTGGTGAAATTTCGGCAGATGCTCAGTGGATGTTTATCTTTTTAAGCATGAGTGATTTAGGGTTGTCTAACGCGTATACGGATTATGTTTATCATTACGCTCCGAGGCCATCTTGTACAAAGAGCAACCCAACTTGCAATTCCACATACCTGTTTTGCGATATCCGAGGGCGACCGCACTGTGTCTCTAAGATTAAGATTGGTGGTCGCTGTGTTGGTTTTGAAGGTTTTAATTCTTGCTATAAAGGATTTTGTTTGCGTGGATATTGCGTTGCTCAAACTTTCCATTCCCCTACTTCGGTTCGTTTTTCAGTTCTTTATACTTAATGTTGTGCAAAGACACAAACTGTATTGGTTCTGATAAATTTTTTATGCTTATTCAATCGTAGATTTATTATCCCAGTTATGCTTCAAGTCCTTCACTGCCTCGAAAAAAAAATCATTTTTTAGAGAAGAACAGTTATATAAATCTTCCATTTAATTCAAAAGAACTTTTCAATTTGAAAGTGCTGCTGATAACTTTTAAAAATTTTTTTTTTACACTCTTCAGTTACTTTAGGATAAGAAAAAAAGTTTAATTTTGTTTCGTATGCAATACCTGAGAAGTCTGACGTCTGTTTCTTTGTCATTTTTTAGCTGAATCAAGTGGCTGAAAAGCAACCAACGATTACAAAATCTCTGAAACAAGTTGAGCAACTTGATGACGTCGCATTGCCGGCATCGAAACAGAGTTTTATCACTGAAGTGAAGTCTAAAACGAGTTTGTCGTCAAATAAAACCAACTCATTCATAGACTTTACCTGTTACGATCGACACCCATGTTGTGGAAGCTGGTCAAGAAGAGGCATTTGTAATAATGCCAGTAAACGAGCTTATTGTGCAGTTTCGTGTTCAACTTGTAAGCCGACATTCAACGTTCTTGACGGTAAGGGAAGAGAATTGCTCTAACCAGTAAATTTATAAACTGAGATTAATCTGTCGTTCATGATAATTAGTTACGTAATCAGCCTGTTGACAGAATGTGCTGATCGACATCCGAGTTGTGCAATTTGGGAAAAACTTGGTGAATGCAGCGGGAGATCCAGTCATTTTATGGCTGAAAATTGTCGTACTTCCTGTAAATTATGCGGTGAATCAAAATCTTTAAAATGCTCAGCGGTCAGTTCTGTAAATTTTTTAATTTAAATTTATTTTATAGATTTCGTTTTTACAAGAGTCTGGTTATTCTATGGTAAAATGGCGAACAATAATGCATTTATTGTATAAAAGTGGTAATGTTTTGGTAGTTTCAAACTTCTGATGAAATAAAACGGGTCTTTTTTGATCTAGCTATAATTGTTTTCAGTGGTATAACTGATAATTATAAGGGGAGTTGAGAGTGTTGATCATACAGTTCGATTTTTTATTGGCTTAGTTGGCTGTGTTGTAAATCAAAACACTAAGTCGAGCGTTTTGCTCTAACTAATTTGGCAAGGCTTAATTTTCCAAATAAGTGAATGCTGGAAAATTATTTTTTGGTGTTTTTTTTTAAAGGAAAGACAGTTGCCAAATCAAGAAGATTCACATGTTTGGAAGTCGGGCGATGGACACCTTATAGAGCGTACTAGTGTAAACTTTGAACAGACACAGAAGTCAAAAGGTGAAGGAGATTTCAATTTGATGAAAAACAAAAAAAGTTCCTGAAAATTGAATTTTATCAACGTGAACATGACTGCTTTATATTTTAACTGCTTCCTGCTATCGTTGTACGGTATAGTTATCTAGAAATTTTTTTTTACTCTTAGGATTTGGTTTCATTTACTTTTTTTTATTGGTTGATGCGGGTTTGAACCGATGCCTTTTGCTCATTGTTCCGTATAGGTCATAAAGTCATGTAATTTTTTAAAAAAAGATCGATTTATTTAATCATTTTTACTGTTTATACTTTTTGCCTTTGTTGATTTTATTGACTATATTTGCATTAATCGGGTATTAGTAGTTTTATTTTTGTTTCTTTCTGCTTAATTTTATGTATACTTTGGTCTGCCTGTCTGTTACTGTGATCAAATTATTTTTAACAGCAACTGTCTCTTGAAATGTTTACTGGTCTTTTGACCAGTTCCTTAGGATTGACAAAAAAATATTTATGTTATTTTATTATTCAGCGATCTCAGAGTAACCGAGTTGAATGTTAACAGGTAGGAGATGAAAAAAAAAAACATTATGTTAGGATTCTGAATCCCACTTCTTTGTTTTCTCAGTATCGATCAACTGCAATCGCTGCACAGTTGCTGCTGTTAAGGGATTTCTCGTCATCAGCATATTTTATAAATTTTGTATCGCTAATAAGTTATAAAAATTTTATTTTTTATCAGCCGTTTAGCGGTGATAGCTGTCAGCGAGTATCAAAGAATTTGATGAGCTATCTTCAAACTGAGAAAAATCCTCGCGCTTTTTTATTGCAAATAACTGCTAAACAGTGATGCTTAACCAATGTTTTAGTTTGCCTTCTCTTCGTGCCTACTTTTTCAGAGCATTGTTAAGTAGAATGCTAAAAGCACAGTTGTATAATAAAGTTTTTTCAGGTGAGCAATGTTGAAACACAAAAAAAACAGCTTTAACTGGTGTTTAAATATGAATATTGAGTTGGAGGCAAACCGATATATTTTTTTAAAAACTTAATTGTTCAGATGGTTTTTTTAAGGATGTTTTTCAGTATTTTACAGACCAATTAGAATGGATATTCATAGTTTTCATATATTCTAAAATTATAAAAATTTTCAATATTATTTTCGACTGTAACAAGTAAAAATTGGATAAACAGAAATTATTGTGAAAGCAGTTAATGGTGTTTTCAATGACTTCGGTAATAATATTTGGATACTTGAGAAATATCTGATTCATCAGTGAAAAAAAAAGCCTTTTTTGTATCATTTGGTAGAATCCCGTACATATAGAAGGAGTTATTTGGAATCAATCAGTCAAATCTGCTGGATCATTTCTCATATGTACTTTCTTCTTGATTTTTTCAAATGGTTCAGTTTATTTGGATGAAATAATTACAGAAAGCATTTTTTTTTCTAGAGGGGGAAGTGAAGGAAAACTAAAGAAAGCAAAATCTGCACTGTATCTTTTGTCCCTTTCATGTAACTGTTAATTTTTTTTGCAGGCTATCTAGTAGCGCACAGTAATTTTGAGTGCAGTTTAGGAAGTGTTTAATATCATTTTTCTTCTTATAGAAGAAAAACCAAAACTATTTCAAAACGTGAATTACCTTTGTAACTGTTAAGTTATATCAGGTGTTTAGCAGTTGCGTCATTTTGGGTGATCACAGATTACCAAATACTTTTTCTTCAAAAATGGTGCTGCTCTGAAAGCCTGAAACATTTTTACATCCCTTACTTATCGAATGCCATTTGTGCTGCTCACTCTGTCGTTCAACGTCGTCACTGTCTCTATCAAAAACCCTTCAAAAATTCAAGCAGACAGTCGTCTTGTGAAACAAGAGAAGCAATACTATTGTCAAAAATCCTTCTGTTTTGCCCGTAGCAATTCCAGGTTTCAAAGTTCTGTTGAAGGCATCGTCGTTTTATAGAAAAAGTTAAAGCTTCAAAGCAGTCAGTAAGCAAAGCTTGCAGGTTGATTTACTGTAGCCTTGACTAGGTGCAGTTATTTTTACGTTGACTTCAGATGTAGTTTCCATTTCGCCTCGAAGTGTATTTATTGCTCGTTCCTGCGTTCGCCAGTAGGGAAATGCAGTATTGTTGTTAAGCCGTCTTCCTTGTTCTATTAATTCACTATTGTCTTTGAATCTTTTTTTGTTAGTACAGAATACTGCTGAAGAAGGGTGATTATTTGGCATTCAATGCTGTTCATATCCTAATATATTATTCTACAATTGTTTGTCTGTATCCTCTTGAGGAGATGAAGATATTTTACAGAAGATTACTGTGGCCTTATTTTGATTATCATTTGCCTTATACTAAGCCTTTAACTGGTAACCTTATGCAGTGAATAAATGCAGTAAATATTATTCAATTGTAGATTTTTTTATTTCTTATTGCTTCATGTTTCTTATTATCTCAAAAAAAAAAAAAGGTAAAGCAATAATTGTTTCTAAAGGTATAACTAATAATTTTAAAAGTGGTTTAAAGTGTTAATTACGCAATTCAAATTTTGTCAGCTAAAATGGCAGAGCAGATTGAAAAAATTAAGTTCAGTGTTTTGTTTTGACTAATTTGGCAACAATTAATTTTCCAAATAAATAAATGCTGGCAAACTTCGTTTTGATTTGTTTAAAGAGAAACAGTTATTGAATTGAGTTGGTTCAAACATTTCGACATCAAACGATGGACATCGAACAGAGCGTAACAGTGTAAAAACAGATGAGTTATAAACAGAAAAAAATAGTTGAAGAAAAAAATTATTTTCATTTCAATGTTACTGTTTATTTGTCAAGAAAATTTCTTGGTTCAAATAAGTTTTTTTTGCTTGCAATTGATACGGGTCGTAACAGACACTTCTGCTGATTGTTCTATATTTCTTATAACTTTCTGTAACTGAATGGGGAAGAAGTGACTTTTCTATCACTTTTACTGTTTATAATTTTTATTTGCTTTTATTTTTTTTGAACGTTAATTATTCCGCCTATTTCTTCTACTTTTTAGTATATGTATTTTGTTTTACCTATGCTTCAGCATACAAAAAGTGTCTTTTGCACCAAATGCCTGTTGAGCACTGGCGATTTTTTTGGTTACTTTATTAACTCGTTTATCAAGATTAGCAAAGAAAAAATTGTTATTATTTATTAGCTAGAAATCTCAAAGTAACTACGTTAAGTACTGATAAGCAGAAAGTGAAAAAAAAAGCACTTTATAATACAATTCTGAATTCCATTTCTTTGTTTTCTCAACATTAATCATCTTTATTCGTTGTACAACTGCAGCTGTTGGGGGTCTATCTTTATGGCATATTTTGTGAACTTTGTAATGCTAATAAATTGATTAAAACTCTATTTTTTTTTACTGATTTTTTAATGTGATATTTGTTTGCGGAAATCAGAGCATATAATGAGTTATTTTTAAACTGAGAAGACTCTGATGTTTTTTTACTACATATCATTGCTTAACTATAGTGCTTGACCGATATTTTAAGTTGTTTTTTTTTTCTGGTTTAAATTTTTTCTTGTTAAAGCATCAATACATTGGAAGCTGAAAACAAAGTTGTAAAATACAGTTTTATCAGATGAACAGTCTGAGAATGAAAAAAAAACAGCTGTTGTTGTTGTTGTTGCTTAACTACAGATATCCAACCGTAATTAGACTTCAATTTCTAGAAAATTTGGTTTTTTAGTTCAATAAAACTTATTTTGCTGCAAAGGGTTAGACATCTTTACTTCAAAAGTGTTTAACTGTTTACTGCTAAACTTGAAGACAACCTACCAGATTAGTTTTCTTCATTTTTTTTTTCTACGCATGTTTCTTGGGTTTTTTATTTCTGGGATTTATTTATATGTTAGGATAACTTTTGTTAAACTGTCCTCTTTCAGTGTACAATGAATGATGTACATTTGCTCTTTATGCTTCTTTTTTATCTAATTTTTAATCGTAGTTTTTTAATATTATTACCGACTTTAGTGTAGTGGACAAATATATAAAAATTGAATGAACAAAAAATAATGGTTGGTACGTAGCAAATAATGATGTTTTTTTGATCACTTGATTAATAGTATCTGAATACATTTGTAATA